AGTAGTAGGTACAGTAATGTCTTCACATTTTCTTTTCCTAAAGATTTCATTCAACTTTTGCAATTTAATAATAGCAGAATGTAACTGTCTTAAAATATTAAACTGTATTTTCAAACTGTTTATAAAGTCATCATCTTTTCATCATTCTTAACATGGTTTACTGAAGTAACTTCTTATCTATTGACTTTCACAGTTTTCCACTCATTTTTCCATATGATCAACAGAGTTGCTTTATTAAGAAGCAAATCTGATTATGTCATTGCTCTTATAAACACTTTATACTGTCTGGACCATTTCCAGGATAAATTTGAAATTCCTCATCATAGTCAAGGTTCTATTAACTAGCTCTGGTCAGTTATTAATTACTTTTCCTCTTGGGAGCTAAATTATAAAAACTGAACATTTTTCCCAAGAGATGTGTTTCTTTATATCCTTATACATACATAGAATGTTCCTCCATTCTTTTCTCCTTGGTGAGTTCTTATTTGTAAGCATTTATTTCCTCTATAACAACCAGTTTCTGACATTCTCCATTCCACACCCCAATCTACCCCAGGCAATAATTCACTTATTCTTCCCTTGTAGGTATACTATAAAGCCTAATTGAGGTAAAAGTCCTATAACATAAAATTAACCATTTTGGTTATAGTTACTTAGCATTTATATATTAACAGTGTTGTGAGACTACCTGTATCTAGTGAAAATTGACATAATTTAATTTACCTCAAGTACTCCAATAAAACCATGTATTTGTGACCATAACACTGCATACATAATAGGTATTCAATAAAGATGGAATCACATATCTGACGATGGAAAATAACCTTAGAGATTTTTTTTTTTTTGTCTTTTTCCTTTTTATCGGTACCGGGGATCGAACTCACGACTGCCTGCTTCCAAGGCAGGCACTTATGCCGCTGAGCTAAACCTCCAGCGCCTATTATTTTTATCCTGTTTTACAAAACAAAAAATAAAAACAGGGAATCTTAATCCAGACCTCATGGTCTGGGCAGGTTCATGCTATAGTTTTGACAGCATCAACTGTGGGGAGGTGAAAACTGAAGGAGGTGCGGGCCAATGGGAGGTGTTTAGGTCACTAAGGACATACTCTGGAAGAGAATGTCTGGAAGAGAATAGCGGGACTCCAGGTCCTCGTTTCTTCCCCCGCCTCTCATTGGCTTCCTGAACACATATGTAAGTGATTTGGCTCTGTCACATACTCTGGCTCTGAGAAGTTGCCTAACCACAGGCCCAAAAGCTATGCAGTTCTGTTCATGGACCAGAACTCCTAAAACTTTGAGTCAAAATGAACTTTTTTTCTTTATACCTCAGGTATTTGTTATAAAAAGAGAAAGCTGATTAACACAGAAAAGATAAAAAAGGTCTCCTCTCAACATTACGGAAATGGGCATTCTGGAACTAGTTTATAATTTGGATTTTGTGGCATTCGTCAACAAATTTTCCTGTGAGTTTACTATGTGTCAGCACTGCTGGTTACATTACTGAATGAACAGACAGAATCCATGCTCCAAAGCTTACATTCCAGTATGAGGAAGAGAGATGGTAAACATAATAAATTATGTAAGATTTTAGAAGGTGAAAACTGTTATAGAAAAAAACTAGAGCCAGTTAGTTAGAGTCAAAGTTCTACATAGAACCATGAGGTGCATAACCTAAGGAAATTACATCAGTATGTCTAAGAGAAATCTGTATTTGTATATTCATTGTGGCTTACACACACACACACACAGATGGAATTTGTTCAGCAAAAACATGACTTAAATTTCTATCATTTGCAGTGACATAGAATTCAAGGCCATTATGCTAAGTGACATTAGCCATAGAATGACAAATATTACACATTTCATTTTATGCAGAAGCTAAAAGTTGATTTCATAAAAGTAGAGAGAGAAATACTGATTATGAGAGTTGAGGAAGGAAGGATGAAAGAGAGCATGGGTATGAGATACAGTGGGATCGGAGGAATAACTCTTCTGTTCTACAGTACAGAATAATTATGGTTAACAAGTGTGTACTTCAAAATAGTTACTAGAAAGGATTTTTGAATGCTCCCAAAAAAGAAATGATAAATGTTTGAGTTGATATGCCAGTTACCCTGATCTGATCATTATACACTGTATACATGTACTGAAATCTTAAGTTTCTGATCCTTACCTCTTAACTTTCTAGCTCATTCCTCTTTCAGCAATCAGTCAAGCCTTCTAAACTTAGAGTCTCTTGATCTTTATGAGGTACAGTGAAACAAGATGCATGCATTTGAGAATATGAAAAACTTCTAGCAATCAGGTAAAATGGGGAGAGGATTCTTGGAGGAGTTCAAGGAACTGAGAGCCTATGTGATGAAAAAACCACTTCTAAAAACACTAGAATAATAAAACATTAAGACTGAAAACAGATACGAAGATAATGACCCAGAAGAAAATCAACAAAAAATAATAGAGTGACAAGTTGGAAGATACCTGTGACATGCAATTCAGAGTTTGAATATTTTAGGGAAAATAGAGAGGAAGCAGCTGTGAAAGGCGAAGATATCCATCCATTCCAGAAGGCATGATACAAAGACTATGGGAGAAAAACAACCACCTATTGACAAAACTTCATGGAACACAGTGTCCCCCGGAAAGATATTGGCTATCAGAGGCCAAGAAGTTGGAGGGACCCCTCGAAAGAATAGGTGGAAGAAATAGTTGACTTTACCAATGATAAAGTTGTAGCAAGTACAGTGAAGGATTTCAACAGGTGAGGATGAACAGAAGACAAGGTCAGAAAAGGAGACACATGGGCTGGGGATTTAGCTCAGCGGCCTAAGTACCTGCCTTGCAAGCGTGTGGTCGTGAGTTTGATCCTTGGTACTGGTTAAAAAAAAAATTCTCATCTCAAAAGGAGACACAAAGAACCATAAAAAGGATAAAGTGTGGGGGAAAAGGTTTTCTAAGTATCTAAAGTTACTTGTAATGACTGGATTACAAGAGGATAAAATACTTAAGACATTGTTCTAGAAAATTACTTATCATGAACAGATATTTTATGAGACAAAAGAGGGCCCAGGTAGTTGACCAGAAACATACAATCAATTGATGATATCATGGTTCTATACAAAGATGCTTTCTGACATTCTGCTATCTATTCTTGAACTACAGTAGCAAACTAAAAATGTGTGCAAGGGCAAAAGAATGGCAAATGATCTCTTTATATCATTCCTTGTTAAGAGCTCTGATAAAAGACACGATAGGTTGAGTTAAAATAAGTATTATAAATTATGCATTTATTCAAACTGGCTGATTAGAAATCTTCTACACTAATATTCATTCACTCTACCAATTTTTATTATGTGGTCACTGAACACAGTAACACAAGAATGTTCTGGAATAGGCTGGTAATGATTAAATAATTTGCATAAAATTAATGGCATTAAAGTAGTAGAAAGAGCTGTGGGTGGGGAAATGATAACAACAGTAAGGTATATTTTTCAATGATTGGAGAAAAAGAACAAGCAAGTTCTTCACCGAGAAAGGTCCTTTCAAGTAAGTACTGCCAAATGAAATACGAGAAGAAACCAAAATAGCTTTTTTGCTATTACCTGGTCTTTATCAATTTCAAAATGCTGAATAAGAGAAGGGATACAGAAAAAAAAGAGGAAAGAAGGAGCAAGAGAAAAGGGAGATAAGAATCCACAAATGGGAATTAAGAAATACATGTTCTGGTCATTGCTTCTCTCAACAGACTTTTAGAAAAAAAGACTTACTGAATGGGTATTTTACCTCTACTGTTATTTATATATGTTTCACAATTAATCTTCCTCCTTCACCGAATCAGATCTTTTCTTCTCCTTCCCTTCCATTATGTTCCATGTCAGGGTCACAGGTACTATTTTTTATGTGGCAGATGAAATAAATACTAGCATGATATTAATTACCAACAAGCAAATGAATGATCTGGATGTGGAAGAATTTTTATGTGTAAACAGTTGGAGGAGTAAAGAATAGTCTGTGATAAACTCTGGAGTTTTTGATTTAGCAGAGCATAACTTGATGTTTGGTGTGATTATATTGTTTCTGCCACTGCAGACCTACACTACTCTCTGCCCTTCATTCTCTTTTTGTGTGTTTCGGGAAGATGACCTTTACAGAACACATCAAAGCAATTCTTTCCTGTCTTCAGTGTAGAGAGAGCTGACCAACAGGGACAATGGCAAGAAATCAGCAAGCAGAAGAGTTGGGGTATTTATGCTCTCTTCCTTTCTCGTTGGCCATCTGTTTTTTGGTAGAGGTTGTGTTCTTTTGTGAACAACCACTGCAAATGTCATTTAGCTTCTCATGAACTACTATTGAGTTTTGGAAACCTGGCTTCCTTCTGTTACTTGAAGATTTAGGGTGTAACTGCTTTTGGCTATTATTAGCTCAGAGTGGCTTCATCACCCTATGCTGTTCACACAACTGTAACTTGTCCCTTTATTAAACCTCTTTCAATTAATCCGCTGAGCATGGCAATTGCTGTTGTTCTTAGGAGGTAGAATGATATAAAATTTCCAGTAGTCTTTTAGGCCATTTTCAGAGTCAGGTCTAACTGCTCAAATCTTTCTCTTTCCAAATTTCTCAACTTAACTCAGCATTTCTTCTGTTCCTTAGTGAGACTTGCAGGCCCTATCTTGTGGAACTCATCCTTCTTTGGAACAACATCTCATTCTGCATTAGCAATCTTTTAGATATATGTTGTTAAAGTCTGTATTTTTTGTTTTGTTTTGAGACAGGGACTTGCTATGTAGTTTAGACTGAATTCACTCTGAATTAACTCTGTAGCTAGGCTGGCCCTGTATTTGCAGTGATCCTCCTGCCTCAGTTTCCTGAGTGCTGGGATTACAGGTGTGCACCACACCTGGCTTAAAGTCTGTATTTGCATAATGCTAAATATCAAGACAAAAATAAAATGGATATAATTTCAGAATTGTCTCAGAAAAGAGAAGCAGTTTTCCATCTTACCTCCTTCTCCTTGTTGAGCAACACCAACTGGCTGTCTGTTAGGATGCAGTATTTCCGTTCCCATGTTGTTGTTTCTGTGTAGGGTGACTGACCACAAGACAAACGATGGGTGGGTGGTCCTTTCACATCTGCATTACACAAGAAAAAACAAAAGTGACAAATCATTATCATGATTATTAAATCAGTATTTCAAATATAAGAGTCTTCAAAGCCAAAGTACAACCATGAGTCTAAACGTGAATTTCAATGGTAAATTGAAATTCCCTTTTCAGAAAATAAAAACTGTTATTTTCAAAATATGAGGAAAAAATTATCCCTTAAATTTGTAGAAAAGGCTGAAATTCTACAGGTGAACAGTTAGCACAAACTTGAAATAGTAATTACCTCTTTACATAAACACTAAAATAATGGGAGGCTGCTTCAGAGCTAAAGTAATGTCATTCAAAAGAGAGAGCCAAGGATGAGTGAGATAAAGGAACAGAAGATACAGCTTCTAGCCTACAGCTTTTTATTTTTTTAATTTTAAAGAGAACTAAAGAAAATAGAATGAAACAAAGTAAATCAGAACAGGAAAATGCAAGCAACACAGCACTTCACAACAAACAACTGGACATCAACCGTAGCTAACATAATGTCTCTTTTCTTTGAAATAATTGAGCACACCTTCACACACAATAATATCAAACATAACAATATAGTAAAAAAAATTCAAAAGAATGAAAGCATTACAGGACTTCAAAACCAAATAACAGGAAATGAACAATGGCTGCTATAACATCTCATTTTCCTCAAAAAATTTGTCTATAACATCACATATAATAAAGTCAAATAAAACACAACAGGATAGAATCAATCAAAACAGAAGAACAAAAGTATGGTAGGACTTCAAAATAAGATGATAGTTAATCAGCAATAGCTACCATATGTCTTGTTTTCTTCAAAATAGCATTCATACCATCTCACATACTAAAATCAAACAAAACAAAATAAAATCAAACCAATGAATAAAAGCATTGTAAGACTTCAAAACAATATAATAGGAAACCATGATTACCATAATATTTCCCATTATATTCAAAATAGCTGCCCTTACCATCTGAAAGCATAAAATCTAAAATCTAACAAAAGACAGAACAAAGCCAAACCTAATAAAATTGTGTAAACAATGCAAGAGTTCAATAAGAAATTGACAGTAGTTTCCACCTTTCCCTCCCTTTGCTCTTTTTTTCAAAATTTTATTTAAAGAAAGACTAAACAAAACAGAAAATGGGTAGAAATCATACATACTTTCAAAGAAAGAATAAACAGTAAGAAATCACTAGTTGATATTTACATATTGCCCTCTTACAAATAGTTATTCAAGATATAAAAGTGGAGCATATAAAGTGGGGTTTCAAACAGCGAGACTGCAACCAGTTCCGTTCAACAAAAAATCACTCTGAGCAAAGAATAATAGTATTGCTGGGTTTCACATTATGATACTCCTGGATCAGCACTAGGTACTGCAGTGTCTCTTTTTCTTCAAAGTATTTGTTCATCTCAACATTGTTGTAAGATCAGTTCTCAGAAACTGTTTATTAGTTCTATGCATGCATGAGTCTTAACATGTATTTCTATCCTTCCTATAGTAGAGAGAGGAACAAAACAAAGCAAAACAAAACATATTTCTACAAACACATGAAATGAAAAAGACGTATAAGACCACTGTACAAGGAATTCTACCATGGTTACTGTGTTGTCTCTTGTTATCTTCAATAGAATTGGCTATATCATCAGACATAGTATAACTGAATATATCAGTACATAACAGTATTAATAAAAACACAATTTTGTATGTAGTATAAAACTTCAAAAACAGGTAGTAATCAAGCCAGAATGGGTATCATAGTGAGTCTTGTCATCTTCAGTGTAATTGCCTAAACTCTCAAACTTAATACAATAAATCATGTAAGTTTTAATAAAATCTGTCAATACCAAACAGCAATCAAACAAACCAGATTTAACTAAGATCAGTCAAGACCAAGACCAGTATAAGTCATACAGGGCTCCAAAGTAAGTTAATAGGAAATTAAAGATGATTACTGTGCTATATCCTGGTGTTTTGGGGATAGCTGTCTGTTCCCTCAAATCTAATGCAAGTAGACAAACTGGCTCAGAATAAAATCTATCTAAGCAGAGTGGTGTGAGTAATATGGGTTTAAATTCTTGATACACTATTAACAATATCTTCTGCCATCTTTTTAAAGACCATTCCTCCCCTTTCACGTCCCCAGGGTGCACTGTGTATTTCTGGGTCTCACCTAAACCTTCAGTTTTAAATTGTGGGGGGACCTGCTATTTACCTAAGTGGTTCCAAACCTTCTTTCTCCTGGACTTGATCTCTAATTATATTCCTTTACCTATTAAAGCCTGTCTTTCCAACCTATTCACAAATACTGGTCTAGTTGCCACTATTACTCTCTGTCCCATACAGCATTGTTTTCCCATATTTGATTTTCAGTCCATATACCCTTTTTCAGGTTAATTATATTTCCTATAAAGAGCATCTCGGTGGACCCTACCTCCTGTTCTACTCTACCTGTAATTCTCTTTTTTAATTTAGTGTATCAAGGCCATCTATATTAGAGTTTATAACCAACCTTCTCTGCCTCATTTCTGTTATGCTCTTTGTTTGCCATTAGTTGTCTTCTTCACTCTACTTTCTGCTCCATTCAGTGAGGCCTCTTGCCACTGTTCCTGGAATCCTGGTACTTTTCTCTCTCTCTCTCTAGAATGCCCTGCAGTATTCTCTGTAGAGTTGGATTGGTGGTCATGAATTTCCCAAGTTCCTCTTTGTCTTGGAAGCATCTTGTTTCTCCATTAATTTCTAGAGACAATTTAGCAGGGTATATCAATCTGGGCTGGAGGTTATTTTCTTTCAGGGCTTGGAATATTTCACTCCAAGCTCTTCTTGACTTGACTTGAGAAGTCTGTCGTTATTCTGATGGGCCTTCCTTTATAGGTGATCTGTTTATCTCTAACAGCTTTTAATATTCTGTTCTTATATTGAATTTCTGAGATCTTGATTATTATATGCCTGGATGTGGCTCTGTTTTGGTTGTAGGTGACGAGTTCTATATGCCTCATATATCTGAATATCATTTCACTTTCTTACGTTTGGGAAGTTTTTCCTTAATTATTTCTTCGAATAGCCTTTGTAGTTCCTTTGTTTGTACTCCTGCTTCTTCATTCACATTCTTTATTCTCAAGTTATAGATCCTCTTGTTGTCTTCTAGCCTTTGTATTGTTACTGCTTGTTTCCTTGTTATTTTTTTAAAAGTTTTTCCTTTCATAATTCCACACTGCAAAACTGTCCTCCAGTTTGGATAATCTATTCTTAGTTTCTTTCAAGCAGTTTTGCCAGCCTTCAACTGAGTTTTTAATTTCCTGGTAATCTCTTTGAATCTGCTTCATGTATTCTGTATTTTCTTTATATTCTCTTCATTAAATGGTTCTCTTTTTGTTTGTGTTCCTCCATTCTTCCATCTGTGTTTTCTTGAGAGGTATTTAGCATTTCTTTTATTAATCTATATCTTGCTTTACTTAGTTAAACATTTCACTTTTGAACTCGTCTATGAGGTCCCGAATATATTTCTTCAGGTCCACTGATGCCATGTCTGATATTGCATGTTTGCTGTCCTCAATCTCTTTTGTATTTCCTTTCTTGGATCAGCGTTCTCAGGGTTGGGGGCTGGGGACTTTTTCTTATTATTTCCTCTTCTCATATTTTTTGTTTCTTTCATACAGGCGTATAATGAAGGCCCTAGTCCCCTCCCCCTTTTTTTGTTGATTCTGGTTCTTCTGAAGGGCGCTGGCTAGGTGACCCTGCCTCCTCCAGTGTGCTATTGAAGTGCAAATAGGGACAGCATATGTTGGCTCTTCCCCTCAGGGTCAGCCAGCCTAGCCTACAGCTTTAATGAAGAGGAAGAAGATGTTTCATGTATTCTTTGAGAAAACAGTTCACCAAGAACTGAGAGAGTAAGGTTATTGGCAGAACACATACAAAAACAGCTTCTTAAGAATTAAAAATACTTAAACAATAGCATCATATTACCACTAGAGGCCAGTAAGATATTAAAAACAGAAAACAATTTCTTTAAGGACAAATCTAAATGTTTTATTATCATATTTTTTAAAGGGAAAAGTGCCAATTATTAAAGCCAAATCTTTTAAAAATTCTTAAATGCCTCATTTCCACTTAAACACCAAGAAGTTATTGCCACCTTAGTTACTTAAAACTTTTTTTTTTGTATTTTTACCGGTACCAGGGATCGAACTCACGACCACAAGCTTGCAAAGTAGGCGCTTATGCTGCTGAGCTAAATCCCCAGCCCCTAAAACATTTTTAATATGAACTGTTCCCTCATTTGGGCAACTGTAAAACTTCAAGGATATGTTCATCATAAATATATGTTCAGTACATTAAACAAAGATTTTATGACAGTTCAACATACGTTAGAAGTTCTTTAGCCACTACGGACTCATTTGTCTCAGGAATATACTGCAATGAGTATTAATGTATATCATACATCTACTTAGTTATTTTATAAGATGAGCAAGTCAAACTGAAGAGGTAAGAAAATAAACACCCATGAGGTCAGGAGACAAGCTATAAATCTTAAATAAGCATATATGTCTGTAAAAATTAGAACACATTAAATTGTATTTACAGCATAACCCTTGTTGCCTGACAAAACAGGTATCTGTATCAATACTGAATTTCAGAAAACCTAATTTCCCTTTTTGGTACGACTCTGAGTAATTCTTTTAAAAGCTCAGTATCTCATGTTATCTTTTTGTCCTAACTGAACTATGTTTTCATTTCTTTACATTATTGTGAAATAAGACATTGTCTCAAAGCATCTTGATATCCTGAACCATTCATCTGCAGTGCTAAAGATACAATGAAATAGGGAGGGATCAGCAAAACAGGGAGCAATACATCTGAGTTTAAAAGACTTCTGTCTTAATTGAGAGTTGGATTAAACATTATACAGATGTTACAGTTTCATCTATTTTTGTATATGTATAGGCCATTCCCCCTTTTAAATCATTTTTTAAGACTGCTCAGAAGAGGGCTGGGGATGAA